TTTTTTTTTTTTTCAGGCTTCTTCTTTCCAGTTGCTTAAATTGGAAAATTTACTGCGATGATCATACTTCACTTTCAATTTGGATTTTCTCCCTACTAAAGGCATCAGATACTTTGCAATACAGTGTGTTTGAAACTGATGATTTGTAATAGTGGTGACTAATGCTGGGCTTCATTGCAGCAGAAAATTAGTTACCAAGAGCCAATCTTGTATGTTGTTTTCCACAAAAAGCAGGTTTTTTTATTTTTATTTTGTAGTTCTTCAGTCTTATATGTCAACAAAAAAGTTCTGCTTACTGGGCACTATCAACACAAAACAAAGGTTTACTTAGAGGATATAGCTGAACATATAGCAAGATAGTTTTCTTCTAATAAATACAGTGCAGCTCAGATATAGCAGAACTATGCATGTACGCAATTTATACGTACTTATAAGTCTCTTTGTTGTGCATTCCCATAAGCTTCTTTTATGAAGTATTGTTGGTCAAACAAAGGACATTTCTTGGAATGAAAAAGTGTCAATGAAAACGTCAGTGAAAGCTGTCACATTTCGAGTTTTCGATTGCTTTGTAAATTCACTAACAAACTACCATTTATTAACACTTGTTTGATCATTAGCTACCAAAAGTGGGAAGAAAATTGAAAGAGTCATTTGAACTCCTTATTTTGACACGTTTAGTTTATGTTTTTGTAAGGAGAGATCTGTGTTTCAAAACGTGTAGGAAAGTTGCTTGTGAAATATTTATTGTCTGAAGCGTTCTGAAGATCCTCATCAAAAAAATGAGATCTCCGGTTTTATTTGGCATAAATAATATTGTTCATTCAAACAGTAATGTACTCATTCCTTGACAAAAGTTTCTATAGTGCGCTGCCTAAGTTTAGTTTATGTTTTTATGAGGAAAGATCTTTGTTTCGACATGGGTCTGTAAGTCGTTTGCGAAATGTTTATTTCTGAAGCGTTCTGAAGATCCTTGTCAAAAAACTGATATTTCCAGTTTTATATTTTCACTTCAAGATGGTGAGAGGGTACAGTTATCGAGGAGATTCCCAGGGTAACATTAGAGTAAAATTAATATAGAAGCCTATCCAAGCAAAATCATTTGTTGTGTGAGTTAATGGAGGGTTTGAGTTGTCAGACGTCAACTTAAGTTCCTTTGGGATTTTCACAGTTAACTTTTCCATTACAGTACTGGTCAAAGGGATTGCAGCACCTACACGCGCATAAAATGCGTGTAGTCTGTGTGTAATATTCATGGACAGTGCGTGGACGGTGCATGTAATTACACACATGTAAAATTTACTGATCTGTTAGTTACACGGATTTGCGTGTAATTTTACGCAAATGCGTGTATTTTAATCGGAGGAAGAAACCTTTGTTATTCATACACGCAGTTGCGAGTATTTTGCATAACAAAAAGCCACTAATAACTTGTATTCGAAACCCGCGATTCGCAATGTTCACAACAAAAAGTAAATTTAAAAACCGACAAGCATTGCTAAATTAGCAGACTAGCTTAAGCACCTATCAAACAAATACTATTTTTTTAGTCTGTAGCAGTCCGCACTTCTGCTTAGCATCTAAACTTAATTCTTAAAGATCTATGAGTTTTTGTTTACGATGTGCGTCGCAACGTAATGTTTACCCACACACGAAGTGTCATTTCAACCCCTGTTCCTTCGATAACAGTGAAATAGGGATTCAAACAGAAACTCGCAGACTCTCTCTTAATCTGCTTATTGGCCACACTGCTGCTTAAACGGCGAAGAATCGAAACTTTTTTAACAAAATCTAAGCGTTTGTTAATTTTTGATTCCTCAGATTTTGATCCCTGGGTTGAGTCACGTTGACAGATCATAGATTTGGGAAGATTTTGGTCACGTGCTAGGCAACGATGTTGAAGAAACAGATCAAATTTCATTTCAATCAGATCAAAACATGCACTTTTAATATTTTGTTGTCATTACACGCACTTAGTGAGTTCCAGTTGAATGGCTGCGTGGACACTGCGTGTAATGTGTGTGTAGTACACGCTCTTTACGCGCGTGTAATGCTGCAGTCCCTTTGACCGGTACTGTATTTGATTGCTATGCTCAGTGTGTTGGTTGTTATTTGTTATTCTCAAGACAACAATGATCAACATCAACGTAAGTTCCTTTGGGATTTTCACAGTTAACTTTTCCATTATTTGATTGCTATGCTCAGTGTGTTGGTTGTTATTTGTTATTCTCGAGACAACAATGATCAAGAACCCTGCATGTAGATTCACTGTTAGCTTGATGTCTTTAGATCCTTTGGCCGAGTAACATCCGTGCATCACTAGAGTTTCGATTTTCTGATAATCCCAATGTGGTTTACCACTTTCCTTTTTTTCATTTTCTTCCATTTACAAGAGACAGCTTTACTTGTAATTGCAAACACTGTTTTTTTTACTGATTAATTGATACAAGATTATGCTCATGTCATATACCGATTGTGTTGTAGATAAAATAATATTATGTTCACATCAAATGTAGAAAACTATAAAGAAAGGTTGCTTATGTACTGTAAATGTATTGAACAATAATAATAGTTATTGTAATATTATAATAATAAACTTTATTCACTGGTGCAATTTACAATGTTATAACAGTGACAAATTATGTATCACACATGAGTTGTTTTCAAAATACAGAAGTTGTATTGTAAATGGCAAGTCTAGATATGGTGTAAATATTGTTTATTTTGTTGCACACCATTGTATCATGTGTTAACCACACTTTCATCGTAAAATTATTGTGAGAAGGTTATACATACTGTGAACATTTTCTGGGGGTCTTCATGAAGTGGTAGTCTCTCATTGGGACAAAATAGGGACTTGCTGAGTAGTAGTACTACAATGTATATCATCATTTGGCAGTGTGATGTTATGCTCATAGCAACACCTATCTACCAGGATATCACTGATACCTTGCTTCAGAGATGTCAAAGGCTAGCCCTGAAAAACAGTATTTTTGTGACTTGTTATTTATTTATGTTATTGGCAATCTACATGTATTTTAATTAAATTTTTGAGCAGAGTGAAGGCAAAACGTCCAGGTGCAGCAAGACTTCTTTGTTATGTTTTGCCTTGTGTTCTGTGTTTTTACTTGTGTTGCGCCAACTTTGTTCAAAATTCTAGGGACAGCCCTTCGTGATCAGAGCTGCCCACTTGACATGCTGGATTGTTGGCCAAGTCTCTTGGTGTTTAAGGTAGCAGTTAGTCACTCCAGTTCTGCTGTACGTGTCTGTTTTACAAGCAGGGAAAGGCAAACTTTCCCAGTGGTACAAAAAACTTGCAATCATGGCCTTTTGTTTAAAGCAGGCCTTACAGTGCAAGTGTGCAGTGCTGTTTTCTGAGAATTGCAGAGAATCAAATGGAGATACTTAATATAGACATGAGTCACACTGAGCACTGTAGAAGTGCTGCAGCAAGTAGCCACATCTGAGGATAGATTCTGAAGATGTGGAGATATCACTGGACGGTGAAACAGTTAATGGTTACGTTAACATAAGAGCCAAGGAATGCAGCAACCGTTTGTGAGAGAAATAATGGATACAACCCATTGAGCTTGAATGGAATACAGACAAGATTGGAGGAATTGTTTGAGCCTAACATACATGAGGGCTGAGGGGATAAGTTAGACATTATCTGCCCTATCTGGTGGAGAACCTTAACATATCATTAAACTGACTGCTTCAATGTATCGATGAAAGCTATCAGACTACTGATAAAGATTCCAAAATGTTACTAACACAATAAAAGTAAACTTAACTAAGTTAACTTTTTTTAAATCTCCAGGATACATTACCCCCAAAGTTCATTTTAATGGCATGTAAATTGGATTTATTTTCAGGAGAGAGTGCAGATAAAGACAAGGATGCTGATGATGATGTAGAGATTTCTACCGAGGCCAGGTAATGTTTTGTAGCTAGGCTGGCTGCAATGGAATGCGAAACCCCGAAAGAGTCTTACAGGGGTTTTCTTGTACAAGAAACAGCCAATTATCTGTTGGTAGCAGCATGATAAATCAAATTGATGACTGGAATGACTCTATATGCTTCTGTCACCACCAGGAGATAGATCAGCAGTCGGTGGCGTCTGCTAGATGCAGATTGCACTGAGGATTTCATCTGAGTTTTCTACATTTCATTTTTCCCTCCAGTAGAGTTGAACCCGAGGATGAGGAGATTCAGCTAGACGACTCGTTAGTCGTCTTGGACAAATGTAAGTGGAAGGAACGGCGAGTACAATGTGTTAGATACACTTGTAACAATAAGATTTTAAGGGAGCACTTCAGACCTATATTCACGAGAGAAAAGTAATTTACACTTAAGTAGTTATAAAATGTGCTTGGCTTGTAGAGTCATGCACACTTTTAAGGAAATTTCTTTTTCAGTTTCTGTTCATTTTATTTTGGTTTTAGACAACTGCGACTTGCATCTGAAAGTTGCCCCAGACGGCCTGAGTGGAAAGCCGTTAGAGGATGAAGGGTTTTCATATCTTCTTGCTGGTGCTAGAGCTACTTGGGGTGCTACTAAAGGAAAGGTTTGCTTTGAATGCAAGGTGAGCATGTTTAACAAGCATTTAAATGCCATTTACACAGGTTAGAAATTGGCTTGACACTATTATTTTGTAATCATAACGGTTTAAAATAAAACATGTTTTGCGTCATTAAGGCAAAAATGCATAATGTGGGGCAGGCTATTTAAGGTTGTCACAAGTTTTTAAGTAGGTGGTTGAAATGTTGATGTAGATGGCTGATTTTGCCATCTTTTTCTTGAGAAACAGAAGAGTAGCTGATAGAGGTCAGGTAGCAGGTCATGATTTTCACCAGCAGCCGACTACCATTGGGACCTTGGGCCATTGGGTGCTCAGGGCTTGAAATTAAAAAAAAATCCTTTTAAAATGTCCATGTGGTGACTAAGTGGTAAAAAATAGTTGCCAGGTTGTAAAATCAAATAGGGATTAGTTCAAAACTGATTAAAATATTTTGTAGGAATTTTATCCCCAAAAGGACTCAATGCATAACATCTGAAAAGACAAAACAAAAAGATATTACATCAAGACATGAAAAGCAACATTTTCAAGCCTTTTTTGGTTGCTAATGTTGCGTACGTAGCTAATGACTGCTAACCTAAATATGAAGAATCCTTGCATTACAAGAGACATAATCTGTAGGCACACATGACGTATCCAGTACTTGAGGGTTTGCAATGCATTATAGGGCGATTTTGAACAAGGTCGTTTTCTAATGTAAGAGAATCCTTTAGAGCAAAGCATAAGGATGGATTGACTTAGATTCCTTTCTTATGCTGAATGGTTTAGAAGCAAAGATCTTTCAATGTTATTTTCTGGAAGGACATAATGTCTGGGAAAATAAGCGTAACTGATCTTCAACACAGAGAAATGTAGTCACCATTATGACATCTAAACCAGAAACCAGAACCTCAAAATTGTTTTCAATGTGATTTGAAATTGGTGATTATTATACATGCACAGTACTGTACACGTAGGTGACAATAGATGATTTGCTAAGCTGATATGGAGATTGGCAACTAAAAATATTTCATTTTTATTTCTTTTTGTAGGTGACATCACTTGTGTCTGTAGACCTGCCTGATGCTGAGGACCCCAAGAATGTTGTGAGAGTTGGCTGGTCAACTGATTCTACCAGCCTTCAGCTTGGTGAGTTACATGTACATGTCACAAACGTCAGACTAAATGATTATTGTAATAGTAGAACTTGATGAATTTTTGTTTCCTAATTTCCAAATTTCTTAGATGAAGTGCTAACTAGTATATTGCATGCAAGCTTCCAGAAGATGTACATTGTCAGGTCACTCACTTGTTTGACTGGCCTGTTTGTTATTTTGCTCGTTGGTTTTCTTTATTCGTGATAAATACTGCTGTAATAGTAAGTTTTTCTTCTGGGGACAAAATAACTTTTTCTTAGTTATTAACATGTACATCAAGCTGTATAGAAATAACATACAGAAGAAATCAAGCTGTATGGAAGATGGATGCCCAGGATGTCTGGGGGCCTCCACTGAGATCAGCCGGCCCCTAGACAGTAAAACGTTTCCATGGTTAGGAATTCTCTCAATCAAGCCATGACCCCACATATGGTTGTCCAGGCACCCATCACACTGAATTAATGGTGGAAAAGGGATGGGAAGGGAGGGTCAGATAAAGACAAGGTAAAATAACTAGGAACTCCACCAAAAAACTGCTCAACTATGCCACACTTAGACACACTACTACGATGGGGCGCACTGCACTTGTGCTAACATCTAGAAACCTCTGACCTGTGTGATAAGTGCAGCTTTTCCTTGTTGTTAACTTATTTCAATTGTATTTAACAGCATGTAACTTTTGATTCCTAATTTTTCCCAGGTGAAGACAAGGTGTCCTATGGCTATGATTCATCTGGCAAGAAAGCACTAGACTCAGAGTTTACTGAGTATGGACAAACGTTTGGTGCTGATGATGTAATTGGGTGCTATCTGGTAAGTCTTAATTATGGGTTACTCTGTCTTGTTTTGTTGATACGTAGCTGTGATTTGATCCGCACACCCACCATGGCTGAACCATATGCGTAGGTGTATTGTCTGTATTGCTGTCCACAGTGTTACTGTGTTTACTGGTGAATTACCATACCTGCACATAAAATAGCCTGTTCCTTCTATGAGATGTCCCTGAGGGGAATCATGGTACAAGAAGTTGTGTTCATCAAAACAGATATCCAGTCCAACATGAAGACAACTACAATGTTTCCCTGGGAATTGGGCATTAAAGATCTTTGGCCTGATATAAAAAGACTGATATAAAAAGATGTACAATAGCTCATAAAAGGATTATGAGTGCTTGCCTGTTATACATAAACGATTTATTAAGACTAAATAACAGCCAGCACAGTAGGAATACACGGGTGCTAATTTTACCATTTTACCGAAAAGATTTAATAGAGAAAAAGATGGAGGTTGCACGTTTTCTGTAACGACTATTAAATGTTGGAATCACCTCCCCCTTAAGCTGCGTGCCTCTTCATCTGTAAATATCCTTAAGAATGCTTTGTACAAACATTTTAAATTAAGTCAGCTCAAGAACAAGATTTTTACTCCTTTTTTAAATAATAATTTTTAGATCGCGATATTTTAGTGATAATCTTTGATTATTGTTTATAGTAGATTTTGAACTTTTAGTACATTGAAGAGGGCCACAAATTTATTAGTTGATAAACTATTACTTGTCACCCTCGATAAATAAAGTTTTGATTTGATTTGATTTGATTTGGCCAGGATGCAATGCATTCTGTGCAGCTTTGGAAAACTATAGAGACCTCAATACCATGTTACCAAAACAACAAACGCACGCAAAGCATAATGGTCAATACTGGGTCTTAAACAATACTTGTTGCTACAAGTAGGTTAACTCTTGAACTTCCAGTTGCAGAGGATTCTTAGCTACTGTTCATGTACATGAACATGTCCCTTTTTCAACAAATTATTTTATTTAGGATTTAGTTCATCTAGGAAAAATGTTGAGCTACACTGTAGGGCCAAAATTAATTATTTAAGTACACTTGACTTTTACATGTATGACCAAGAAAAAAAAAAAAGATGTTATTGTCTGTGTATTAATTTGTTTATATCATTTTAGGACTTGGAGAGTGATCCCAAGACAATTTCATTCAGCAAAAATGGTGAAGACCTTGGAGTGGCATTTGAACTGACTGAAGATCTGGAAGACAAGGCTCTACACCCTCATATACTCATCAAAAATGCTGAGTTTAGTGTCAACTTTGGATCTCAGGTAACAGATTCCATTGATTAGAAGCATTTCACAGAGTTCTTAAAGCCCCTCATGTTGATTCATTTGAAGACTTCAAAAGTGGATCAAGTAGATGTATATTGATCCAATACAACAATCTAGAGTTTATTTTTACACATGGTAGGTCTTCTCCACTATCCTTACATGAAACAGTACTTTTTCCATAAATCACACCTACAGTTGTAATACACCTAAATTACATGTAAGTTTTTATTGCAAAATCACGTGTTCTTTCTCCTTGTATAGCTTAGGTAAATGCAGTCAGTAACATTCACTACTACAGACTTTGTTTACAAATTGTGAAATCTTGAAATCTACCCCTATTCATTACAAGGGTCAAATCATGACTTCAGACATGCAATCTTTAAGAAATATTTGATCACAAAATAACCAAGTCGTGTTTGTGGTCTTTCGTTCCTGACAAAGCATACAACACACTTTGTCATACAAAAATATAGCAATGGCTTTTTGTGTTTGTGTAGGAAGAGCCATGGTTCCCAGCAAAGGAAGGGTATACCTTCATTCAGTCCGTTGGTGAAGAGTCTTTGGTACATGGCACAAGAGGGCCAACAACTAAGAAAGAGTGTGAGGTAAGCACAGTATGAAAGCCTTTTGTAAGGTGAATTGAGAGATTTGACACAATGACCTTGAATGTCAATATTTCTTATTTGAGACAGCTCAGTCTGCTCATGCAGAAATAGTCGGTTCAACATCCAAGGTTTCATGAAGGGCCAGGCACTGGGCAAATTGACCAGCTCTTAGGACAATTTTACCCGCCTGGTTTGACCATGTAGAGGAAAGTTCTTATATAGAAGTTCAGTTCAAAAGGTTTTGCTTGCCTGCAAAAACAAATTCCCCTCCTGCTGTTCAACCCATGTGATGTCACCATTGGGTAGAGTGCTGCTGTGCTTACTTGTGTAATTGTTGTGCTACTATTGTTGTGTTGCAGGTTATCATGATGGTTGGGTTGCCTGGTTCAGGGAAGACCACTTGGGTTAATAAGCAAGTCAGTGAAAACCCAGACAAGAAATACAATGTGCTTGGGACAAACTCTATCATGGAGAAAATGAAGGTAAGATCATGTTACCGAGGATTCAAAGGCACACAATTTGTTCAAAAGAACAAGGTTCCTCTCAGCTTAGGGCTCAACTTATTGTTGTACTCTTCTCTTGTTCTGTACCTCCGACAAATGGCCGCCTTAATAACTTAATTTTCGCTCCTGTCTGGCACGGAGGTGTATGTCAGTCACTCAGTAAAGCAACATTGATCTAATCTGCAGGTTATCACTTTGAATTCCACTGAGGTTAAAACAATGCACCAGTGCTAATACTCCAAGGAATCATGGGTTCATTGTCATCCACTAAAAATTTCAATGTTATCATTTATGTGCAATTTTCTGATTTCCAATGTAGGGTGAAAACTGTAGAATAACCTTGCCCTGCAATTACAGTGCGACTGCTCTAACCAAGGCCACTTGAGAAAATTGTTGGCAAATTAGTGAACAGCATTCACATGTTAAAACAATCAAATTGTTCCAAATTTGTTGTTTCTATAGTGCAGGTTGCTCAGATCCTGTATTTGTGGGAAATGTATTGTGCCCATCATATTTTTGCGCAGAAATGTTTTGGGTGGCTTTGGTTAGCGTGGTCGCAGTGTAAACAAAATTAAATCCCGTAAAAACTAATTGCTATCTTAACTATCAGCAATCTTGAATTAAAATCGTCAGATAAAGTGAACATTATGAACTGCACTTGTCATTTCAGATCATGGGTGTTGCTAGGAAGAGAGATGTGGGTGGATACAGTAAGTTGATGGACAAGGCAGCAAAATGTCTGCACCGTTTGTTTGAGCTCGCACCAAGTAAGAAGAGGAATTACATTCTGGACCAGGTAAATAAGTGATGTATTAAAATTTCTGACATGTGAGTCATGTGTTAATGTAGCGAACTGCTTGTAAAGTTAGGAGACCTCTTATTGTCTGTATATTAAACTTGTTTTATTTTTTTTT